ATTTGTTAAAGAACTACCCCACCCCCCTCCCTTTCATGATCTGTCGTGGACGCATAAATCAACGTACAGAGATGGTTTTGGTACCGTTGGATAGATCAGAATGTCAGCTTTAAGATGAGACTAAAAACCGGAAAAGCCGAAATCCAAAATTTTACCCTAGACGCTCCCCTTAACGTAGACACCCCCGTTTTCAAACGTATAAGTGATCTCTCGCATTTGAGTGAATTAATATACTGAACAAATGTAGAATTATGATGATGTGAACGAGAATAATATCAAGTTTTTATTCTTGTATGAAACAAGCATTGTAAGTAAATTAACCCTTACACTTTATAACCCAAATGATATAAATCACTAAAGCATTCAAAAAGAAATCACCATCTACACTCTTTAAGTTTAAAATGAAATTTAAAAAGTTTTTATAAAATAAATTATATAATACATATCATTTTAACTAAAATAATTTACATCGGCGTTGCTGAGCCGCTGAAGACCTCGGCATCTAAATCGAACTTCTGCCTCCAAGGAAGTCCAATATCAATCAATCAGTGCGGCAGTAAAAGGATTCTGATAGCTTTGCAAGTCTGCTGCTAAATTGTTACCTAGAGGTGAGAAAAATATCATTCATCATTGTCTTGCCGTTAGCTTTCACTAGCAACATTGCCACATTGGCTTGCCCCTGAGTAGAGCCATTCTGAAGCTTGCATTACAGTATGAGAAGACATGGTTGCAACGAGAGAGTAATGATTGAAAAGTCTAGTCTGGAAAAAGATCTCGGAGTTTATGTCGACAAGGAGCTGAAATTTTCTAAGCATGTTGAAACGCAAGCTAACACGTCCAACAAACTTCTTGGACTAATCAGACGCTCATACGAGTTCCTAGATGCAGAAACGATGAAGCAGTTGTTTGTTGCCGTCGTACGCCCGTAGGCCACATCAGGCCTACACTTCAGAGCCGACATCACTATGTTATGTTATGTTATGTTATGGTGGGCATTTCACTCAAGCTTGACCAGGCCGGGATCCGACACACTTCATTTTGAGAATTTTAGAGCAATAATCAATGTTTATTTAATTGAGTTCTCATTACACAGCCGAAAATGGTATTTGATTGCCAGTGTAACCAGCCTGTGCCCTTTAATACCCTTTATTGAAAGAGGCCTTATAATATAAAAAGGCAGGGTGGCCCAGTGGTTAAAGTTCAGAGTACCAAGATTGGCGCAGAGAGGCGCGGTTTCGATCCCAGCTCTGTGCGCCACTTTCTGGTCAGAATCGGCAAGGAGGACGGGCGGTTAAGCACAGTAGAATTGGAGCAGTGAGTTGTGTGTTCGAGAGCACATCAAGCTGTGAATGTTCTGCGATGTTAAGAATCGGCGACAGGCCTACGGCCTAATGAACGCTTAAACCGCTATTATTATTATTATAATAACCAGAGGTGGGCAGTAGCACGCTACATGTAGCGGTAGCGCCCGCTACATATTTAAGTAGCGATACGAGGTTTTGCCGCTACAGCTACATTCATAGATAAAGCCTTTAGATTATACTTAAAAGTATTAAATGTTATTTAAAAACCAGCATGATTCACACATTATATAAATTACAGAATAAAACTGTGCGGAATATTTCGTGTAATGTTGTCAACCTCAGCCTGTTACTAGTGTGTCAACAGTCAACATGTTAGTTGTTACTTGTTAAGTTTTTGCCAGATACCACTTACAGGTATTTATTCATGTGTCAGTTTGCTTACAGTTATTTTTATGTTCCACCTTCCCTACATGTATGTCTACTTTAAGCTACCAATCTCAAAAATAAACCACATATACATGTATAATACAAATATAAGACTGATTTTTTAATATATAAATATATATATATTTCAATTTAGGCAATTTGCAAAATGGATTCTGAAATCTCGGAGAGTGAATGACACAAGCTTGGAGAAAAATCTTACAGTTCTCATCTGAGACGTTTAGCAGACAAAGATATTGAAAGATGTTTTAAAAAACTGGATATAACAGTTTACTGAGATTAAATGAGGGTTGCAAAGAGAAACGATTGCGAAGTGATGAGAACACGAAATGAGGCTGTCTTTATCCGGGTTGTGGACAGTATCCGGATTTTACGTAGGTTTTGCTTGTGTTTAGCGGTTTTCGTCGATTCCGGTTCGAGCTTCGGTCGACTACGGACGTGTGTATGTGATAGAGTGAGTACATTTTTGAATCGGTGAATAAATAGAAAAGAGTCTTAATTTTGAGACGGGCACCTATTTGGAGTACCTTGTTTGTACAAAAAACCAGCAGAATGCCCAAGCCCAAAGCTAAACGTAAGAAAAAAGAACAAGGAGATGGAGCATCAATATCATCTTGACCACCTCTTCATTAACTGCCCTGCACTGTCTCCTCATCGCAATCAACTGAAAGCTGCTTGCATCCGCCTCGGAGTCTCCTTCAGCCTGCCCTCGCTCATAGCCCCTGAATTTCCTGCTGATATAATTATCAAGTACCTCCAAGACACCAACATGCTTGACAACATTTAGTAATCCACGAAGATGCTGAATGGGGGCGCCAATACTTCAGTCGGTGACGCGCCTCATCTTAACCAAGTAACCAAGTAAGTATTTCTTCCCAGTTTCTCCCAGTTTGGTTATTGCTAGCGCTCGATCATCGTTCAAATTCGTAAACTGATGCAAATCAAGGGGTTCGATACTCGATAGAGTGGTGATGTCACTGATGTGCTGTGCTGGGTTCGTGATTCATGGGCCAGGGGGCAGAGTCCCGCAGAGACAGCCTGACACTATGAATTTAGGTAGGCAATGAAGCCTATCAGTGACGGGAGTCGAGCCTCTGTCGAGGAGTGCAGCCAGGCGCCAGCAAATAAGTAATTTTCAAATAAAAAATCTCCAATGTAACAATGCAATCTTTGATACCGGTACTCTAATTTTTTGGAAATGTATGCTTGATAAGCGGCCTAGGTAGTCTATTCCAGGTTTGGATCACATATGATAATATGATATGAATGATATGAGAACTATGATACATATTAGGTACATAGTTGAACTTACTACCTGTAACTACCATAACGTAGATAGCACCGTAGTAGCAACAATGCATGATCAATGATGTTCTTGAGCTGTTGAGCAGTTGAGCTCTTCAATTTTTATGACTTGAAGTTGAAAATGCAATACTAATAGTAATATGCCTTAAGGCCTACTAAGTACTAACAGAATTAGAATTAGTATTCAATAACAATTAGTAATGCATTGCCATTTGCCGTCATTGCCCACAGCCCAATGCCCATCAATGCCATTCCCAATTTCCCATTGGGAATTGATCATGATTCATGATGATGATGATGATGTTCTGGCTTGAAAATTGAAATATTATATAAATGTGGAGTTTTATGCTGGAAAATTCAGTAAATTTGACATAAATAGTTCTCTATTTTACTTTGATATTGTGCAATGATTGGCGGATTGGCCAAGCCGCCAAGTCAGACTGAAGCAATGAAGTTGACTGAACTCCGGCCAAGTGCTCAAGTAGAGATTTAATCAAAAGCTATCCAATTAGATTTAGTCTGCCAATATCTTATATCTGGGATGTCTAGCTCTAGCAGTTATTTTACTTAGGGTAAACGCGGTATTATTATTATTTTTTTTACAGTGTGGAATTCTGTATAGGTAATATATTCTCATGTCAATATAAGAAAACGTATCGAAAAACCAACCCTACTACCGCGTTACAGTTACACCACCTTCCACTGCAATGAAAATTGGTAAACTGGGCTCATTAGGAACTTCTGCGCTTCCGAAATCGCGCGTGGTTTGACATCCAATCCTGTGTTGGCAACGCCTCAATCAAGTCAACTAGTCATCTATCTGTAGGGTAGTAGACAAATTTTTGCAATGCATACGTTCTAAAATAAAAAAAACACATCCAGAAACGTAAAAAATTCTCACGATTGGACAATACCAACAAAGTTTTCGATATCACACAAAAGTATGAGATAAACTTCGACTTTTCCAAGGCGTACATTCACATCGTGTTTCCACGATCATATCTGACATGGCGGCGTCACAGGCATAGTTTTTGGTCATGTCAAGTTCGATTTCACAATAATTAGACTTGATCCACATTCCATACTGAAATTTAAATGATGGAAATTTGTTTCAGATTATAAATACCAATTGATACGCGTCCAGACATACATTTTTCATGTTTTTTGCCTATTTTGTCGATGTTGTCTATATAATTAACTTCACCTCAGATTCTAAATGATTTCGTCTCCCATCGAGAGTTTTCGAACGTCTGGTGTCTTTTAGAAAACGTTCGTTGTTGAAGCGGAAATTATTGCAATATATTATCATTCAGAGCTTAGACATGTACCATAAGTTGTATTGAATAATAAAAGTTATTTTAATAAAATTTGATTTCTAATTCGAATTTTCGAATCAAAATTCTAACTAAAAATTTTTTTAATATAATTTAAATCAACAGCATGTACCATTTCGTGTATACAATAATTACATTTAATTCAATAAATTTTAGTCTCAAATTATTTGTATTTTATTTTGATTTAATTCTACAGCTTCAATTGGTAAAAATGAGCATCATAGGAATGAAAGTAAAACTGTCCTTCATACATCACAAATTGAATGGCATTGGATGGATTTGATAGATATTTTATTAATCCTGTTTATATATAAGAATGTACCTATATGACTCTTCTAACCCTTAACGCACTGAATTATGTTTCGAAAGTTAAAAAAATCTGAACTGCTTACTCCAATCACGCGCAGTCTTTGTGTTTGTACTGGCAGTAGCTGCGCGTATAGTCGATCGAACGTCATTCGAACNCAACATTTTGTGACGTTTCATCGTTGCTGACGCGTAGTGAAGTGTTTTGAGAGTCATGTGAAGGCAACAGAACTTACGTAACGCATACGTTTTTTTTTATAGTTTTTCATTTTTCGATGCGTCCTTAATGTGTCGGAATATACCGCGTTTACCCTATTTATTTTAAGCACTGAACAGTTGGTCATGCCCCTCTGATTCATACACACGAGATGCTTTACCAACGATGTTGAAATGTCTGAACTTGCTGAAGACCTGAAGTAGCTAATTCAGTAATTGGTAAACTTTGTTCTGCATTTGTGATTTGTCCATCTGGTTATCTCTTATTTGATACTAGTTACTAGGTACTCATTACTTAATTTAATAGTTAATACCTACTCTTTGAATAGACATGGATGTTGGTGAGCTTCTTTCATATAAGGTAAGTTACTAAAGTTAGCTTGATCACTCGTATATACATATAGCAGTCACAAAACAATGAATGTTATATAAAATATAATTCATACCTAGTGCTCAGTACTGTACAAAACTATCAAATGTTTATAACTGTATTACATTTACATCCAGGTAGGTATTTTACTTATTTTTAAGACTAATAATTAAATCTAATATGAGACAAATAACTGCTTGCTACTAAGAATTAGGTCTCAATAATAAGATTTATTGGTCTCAATTTAAATAAACATATATATATATAAAATTTTGGCTAAGCCTAAACTAAAGGGCAAAGGCTGATATCAACATACTCTAACTGATATTTAACAATGAACTCTTTATTTCATATAATTTTTCTAACTCTAACATCAAGCTAGCTCTTTAAAACCTGATGAGTTTGCCTAAAAAAAATTTTGAGCTCCAGTTTATAGTGATTTTGTTTCTCTTATTCTCTACATCTACAAATTTAATAATTTATTGGTAATAATTAATTCTGAACTTGCAGCCTCAAACAAGTTTGAAGCATGGGCTTGAAGATGAAGAAGAAGCCCAACCACCCAGTAAGAATAGCCTCATCACTAGCAGTGGATTAGGAAATGCTAGAAAGAAAAGCAGACTAACAGGTGAGCAATACAAATGCCAACTGAGCCGTTATTGAGAGCATCAAACTTGGAATTTACATAAGGTTTTATGGAACAGATTTGTTCTGTTTGGGCCTTCAGCTTGAAATTGTGCTTTTAAAATGAGCCAAGCAATCAAATAGTGTGGGGTAGGCAATCAAAGTAATTTCAGGGGGCTAGCTGAAGTTGGTCATTTAAGTAAAATTCTTTAATAAATGATGCTGAATAGAATTAGATAAGCAGCATTTCTTGCAGTAAAGAAATTTGAACTCAATTCCAACATATTGTATATAGTATTAATATCTAAACTATGCCAATCCTTAATCATACATAAGAAAGTTTTGAGGATATGAGAAAAATTTTGCCTGTGTGTTTTTCATCATCATTCTCAATAAAATGATGTGCATATCACTCTCATCAATTGCCTTTTTTCATTGTTAGAAAAAATGTTTTTCTTATTTTCTTTGCAGGCTTGCAGCGTAGCTCCATGAGCAGCAGTCACAGCAGAGCTGCTATGATTCCCCCCACCCCTTACATCCCCCCACCCACCCCACCTCGAAGTATATCACACCCCCAGCATGTGAGTGCCTCTTATTGATTGCTATCCATTACTCATTTGTGGCCTATATCATAACTTATTTGACATACCTTGTGATTAGCATAGATCAGAGGTACTAGTGAAAGAATCGCTATTATTAAGATAAAGAATTTGAATAATTTTAACTCCCCATTATTCATTTGAACACAACCTACCCAGGCATGAAACATTCATATTGGTTATTTCACTTTATACTATAAAATATTTCACTTCATTCTGTAACATAATTGAAACTACTCTCTGTGCTTTGATTTACTGTGAAACAAGCCCTACTTCTGCAGCCACAGGCGGGAAAGGGCAAACCTGTTACAGAAGTGCCAGAGCCCAGTCTGCCTGACGCTGCAGAGGGCGTTGACTTGGCCCTGCAAGCGTTGGAGGAACCCACTCCTGAGGAGGTGATGTTGTGGGGCTCTGTCTGGGATTATGGTATTGAATAATTATCTATAACAAATTTTGTAATTCTTTTGATGAAAAATCATAATTAGCTTTGTAATTATGTTATTGAACGATTATTATAATTAATGATATAATTAGATTAATAAATAATTATAATTAATAATATAATTAGGTTACTGGATATATGCAATTAATGGCATAATTATGTTGATGAATAAGATGGTATCAGGGACTGTTAGTAGCTAGACATCACAGCTATGTATTTCTTAGCTCTTCCATTGATTAAGTTTCAGATATATAATTGATATGATTAACAAGTGTTAATGGTAGATAAAGAGACTCGATTAAGTGTGAATTTAATTTCATTTATGTAATTTAATTATGTTAGGTTTAATTATATTTAAATTAATTAGGTTTAATTTGCAGGACGCAGGTCCCATGGATGAGGCCAGGCTGAAGAAACTCATCCTGAGCTTTGACAAAAAGATGCTCAAAAACCAGGAGCTGAGGATCAAGTTCCCAGATGATCCCCGGAAGTGAGGGTTGATTTTGAACTATTCATAAGCTATTTGCCATGTCATCCAAAGTGATTAATTAGCTTGGCATCCTCTTGGTCATGATTGGACAGCTCAGCATCCCTATGGTCGTGATTGGATAGCCGGTGTCCGCATGGTCGTGATTGGATAGCCGGTGTCCGCATGGTCGTGATTGGATAGCCGGTGTCCGCATGGTCGTGATTGGATAGCCGGTATCCCCATGGTCGTGATTGGATAACTGATATAAATTTATGGTTGTTTTAGCACGGCAGAATGTTATAATGCTCAGTATTTAATTCTTGTGCGGATTGCTGGGCTCACATGCACTAGAGTTCTAAGTATTTTGCTTCATTCGGTAATGTGACTAATGTCTGAGTCACTTTAATAGAGATTGTTCTTAGTGCTTATACTTGAAAAATGACTTGAAAGGTCATGGTAAATTATATATAATATAAATGTAAAAATATAGTTGTGCTTGTCTTGAATTTACCATGCAAACGCAGATTCTTGACTAACTTGCCAGAATTTCCACAACTTGTTGCGGGTTTTGAACCCCCAACTAGCTGCTCCAATCTTGATGATCTCAACCATTCCGCTACCATGAACTCAACCTTATGAATATTTGAAATAAATCATTATCCTTTTTGAAATTATTCCTCTTCTCTTATTATCATCAGTCATGCTTCTGCAACACTTAGTATTTGAGTGACCAGTTATGTTTATCTATCGAGTTCTGACAATAATGTATTTGCTCAGGGGTGATGAGTCAAACATTAACATTATTTACCGCCAAAAATATAATATTAAAAAAATTGATAATATTGAAATTTTAATTGATGTGGTCAGGTTTATGGAGTCAGAGCTGGAGCTGCACGACGCCATAGAAGAGCTGCACGCTATCAGCGTAGCGCCGCAACTTTACCCGCTGCTGCGGCCCATGGCCGTGCCACACAGCCTCCTCGCCCTCGTCGCCCACGACAACACAGACATCGCCGCTGCCGTGCTCGACCTCCTGCAGGTCTTATAGCAGCCCAGGGCTTGCATTAGACTTAGGTCTTGACTAGCACCGAGTCTTGCATTAGGCTCAAGTGTCACAGCAGCCCAAGGGCTTTAAATATGTCTAGGTCTTGATTAGCATAAAATCTTGTTTTGGGCTCAGGTCTCACTACATCCCCAGTGCTTGAATTAGGTCCAGGTATTGAGTAGTAGTTTTCATTACTTTTACATTAGGCTCATGGGTCATTGCAGCACTAGGGCTTGCATTAGGTCTAGATCTTGAGTAGTCCTTACTCTTGCATTAGGCTTGGGTCTCATTGCAGCCCCAGGGCTTGCATTAGGTCTGGAACTTGAGTAGGACTGACTATTGCATTAGGCTTAAGTTTTACAGTAGCCCAAAGTCATGCTGTAGTGTTCGGTATACTGAACAGCCATATTCCATTAGGGAGTGAAATCGTCGATAGTGGCAGTGCAGGAAAAGACACTATTTTCAGCAAGATCGCGGCTTTTACTGATGATATTTAGACAATTACCTATATATCCGAACCAATATCTTCTTTCAAAAACTAAAGAGTGATTGCATTGTCTGTGTTATAGTCGTTTAACCGTTAAACAGGAGGTTGTGCTTTATATGTTGCTGCTTGGGTAAGTAAAATCCCTAATCAAGGTATAAAACTATATTCAAGCATTTTATTTCTACTTACTGTAGATATTGCAATTTTTTTTATGGCAGTTTAATTTAATATTTCTTCAAAAACACTGGAACCACTTCTTCAGGAGATGACGACGCTGGAGGGCGTGGAGGTATCAGAAGATGAGGAGGAGGGACTTGAGGCGCTGGTGGACGGGCTAGTGGAGGAAGACGTCGTGGCGATCATCGTGCAAAACTTGCACCGCCTCGACGACCAGGGCGTGGCTGGTGCCAATGCCTTGTCTGCTGCCACGACGCCTGAGGCTCAGGCCGTACATAACACCCTGGGTCGGTGCCACTTATCATTAGTATCCTTAGTATCCTTAGTATTGGTATCTGTAGTATCCTAAGTATCCGTAGTATCCTTAGTATTGGTATCTGTAGTATCCTTAGTATAGGTAGCATCCTTAGTATTAGAATCTGTATTATCCTTAGTATCTGGCTGTAGTATCCTTAACACGTTGACTATGATTGCTTCATCTTGTACAATTATTTCATTTTTTTTTTTACTTTTTTTAAGCAGGGTTGCTAGACGTTCATTTTTTCCGGACAAATTCCGTGATTTAGTTTTTCTCAATTGCGTTGGCCGGCTAAAATTTATGATAGGGGTACTTCCTAATCAAATTTTAAATACTGCAAAAAGAAAATAAATGGAATTTTTATAGCGGAACCTACAAATAAAATAGTATACATTGAATTATCGGCCTTTTTTGTTCTCGGATTTGGCCGATTTAAGGCAACCTGAATTATGTACCACTACCTCCTGGAGAAATACATTTCGTGGTACGCATATGTACCAATACGTAGTCAACGTGTTAAATAGCATTAGTATCCGTAGTATCCTTATTATTAGCATCTGTAGTATCCATAGTATCCTCAGTATCCGTAGTATCTTAGTATCATTAGTATCCATAGTACGCATTTGGTACTTGGCAGTTCCAGGCCATACTGGACAGCCTCCTCAGGGGCTGCAATCGTGCGAATCTCAGCTCAGTTCTTTTATATTTATTTTGAATATAAAAGATTTTTCATTTATTCATTTTCTTTTTGGATTGGTATTTGTGTGAATTGATGGTCTGTTTTCTAAATAATTGTCTACTAGTGTAGCATGGAAATTTTTAGCGTTATTGAGGAGTTCTTGCGTAATTATCAGATAAACATGCTATGTGGAGCAGGAATCTAGGATTGGTTTTATGTTTGAGGACTTTCTGTGTAATGTCCCAGGATATCGAAACATATGCTGCCTATTCTACGGTTTAGTTATTTTAATTATACCTTATTGCAATTTTAATAATACCGTACTTAATAAAATAATAACTTATAATTTATTTTTTATATTACTTTATTTAAGCATAAATTGTGTTAAATTAGGTTTAGCATAAGTTGATATTGTCGTCACTAGTAGGTATATTGCAGGCATTATATTGAGTATTCTGTTGCAGGTCTACTGGAAAACCTACTAGAGTGCCGGCCCTCCCTCTGCTCCGTGGCGGCGTCGTCCGGGCTGCTGGCTTGGCTGCTCAAGCGACTACGCGCCAAACTCGTCTTCGATCCCAACAAACTTTACGCCTCTGAAATACTTGCCATTTGCGTTCAAGTTAGTATTTTGAGATTCAGATTATTTTGATTTCAGTGCGTGACACACATTTTCTCAGGGAATTATTTCACTGACAACTTAGTCAGAAAATACAACTTCAGAAAATATCTTGTAAAGTGACTCGTCTGTTGTTCAGCACTTTATAAACGTCTACGCTAAGAACAGTCATTGCAACACTCAAATAACATGAATTGTAATCGTCATCACCTTATGTAAGCAGGATTACAATATAATTTTTCTATAAGATTCTTATTCTTCATTCTTCAAAGCGCGATTTTTAACTTCATTGGCGCATGCTTGCTCGTCTGTGATCAAAAATGATAGGCAATATGATTTTATTAACACGTTTTTAACACGTTTTTCTTAGCTTAGCTTCGCGTTTGTTTGTTTGTTTGTTTATTTGTTTGTTTGTTTGTTTGTTGTTAACATTAACAACGAAAATTAGCCCACTTCTGATTGTTCTAGAGATCTGAAATTCGGCATGCTATTTTCGCCTAACATTTTCAGATACAATCATAAAAACTAGTAATTAGAGACCGAAATTAGTTTAATTGAGTAAAGTATATATATAGTATATATATAGTATGACATGCGGGCGCTCACGTTATAGACGAGCAGGCGCTGACGCTGCGTATCATCGATACGTACGTCAAGTCATACTTAATCAAGTCTTAATCGTTTTTCTTGTGGACTAGAAAGTAGAAAATAAAATACTTAAAAAAACTTTTTGAAAAAACACGTTTTTCTTGTGGACTAAAAAGTAGAAAATAAATTATGGTTCGCCCAAAAAAAAAAAAGACGTGGGTCAGGCTGTACGTTCACCATCAAATTTCCAAAATTTAAGTGTTGTGTGCTTTTCGCTTTAATCATAAATCTGCCCGACACACGTTTTTTTTGGGGGCGAACCATAATTTATTTTCTACTTTTTAGTCCACAAGAAAAACGTGTTTTTTTAAAAAGTTTTTTTAAGTATTTTATTCTTAACTTAGCTTCGCGTTTGTTTGTTTGTTGTTAACATTTTTTATACTACTTCTCTCTTTCTCCAGCCTGTTTCAGAAAATTATCGCGACTGGTGTATAAAATTCCCATCATTTATGAAAGGTTTCTTTCTCGGTTCCTAGAATTTTTCATGACTGATTTGTATGTGGGAATAAATCCGTCTGGAGTCGTTATTTTTCCTTTCTTGGGTATAATGATGTTTATTAAACCCAAAAGAGGGAATAATTAGTTTTGTTAAACCCAACAGAGGTTATAAAAATGTTTATTAAACCCAACAGAAGGTCTAATAATATTGCTAAACCCAGAAGAGGGAATAAAAATTTTATTAAACCCAACAGAGGGTATAGTAAGCCATTATTATAGCTTTGTTATCATAATATTGTAATTCCCTGCAGGGCTCTGAGTCTAACCGCCAGCAGCTTGGTGAGCTTGAAGGCATAGACGTGTTGCTGCAGCAGCTTGCCGTGTACAAGCGTCACGACCCGAGCACCGCTGAGGAACAGGAGCTAATGGAGAACCTCTTCGACGTGCTGTGCTCGTGCCTGCTGCATGCCGGCAACAGAGAACTCTTCCTCAAAGGGGAAGGTCTGCAGCTCATGAATTTGATGCTCAGAGAGAAGAAGTTGTCACGTAATGGAGCCCTGAGAGTGCTGGATCACGCGCTCACTGGTCCCGAGGGCGCTGATTGCTGCAATAAGTTTGTTGATATCCTTGGACTGCGCACCATCTTTCCGTTGTTCGTCAAGACCCCCAGCAAACACGGCAAGAAAGGTCTTAGTAAAACTGAGGTGAGTTTCCTAAGACTAAGACCTTTTACTAAGGTAAGTTAGCCTTCTCAGGACTCTTAACTATTGAAATTTTACAAGTTTTTGTCGCTGGAATTTGAATTTGATTTGTTTATTAATGATTTGCTGTGCCATGAAAACTGAAATCCTTAGTAGTTTATCACAGTGGTCCCTGTATCGAGGCTTAAGAATTTACTACGATTTTTTCGAGTGAAAATTTTGGTTGTTTTATTTTTTGGCTTCAAGTCCTCTATTTTATAGCATTTTTATTAGCTATGAGCATCATCTAAAAATGTGAATATCATAAAATTTATTAAAAAATATGCTGGGAAGGCAATCTTATGCTATTAATGCTCAATGCTTGACCTGAATACATGCATAGGTTTATAAGATCCACATTTGCGTTCACTATCATATTGTAATCAACCTCTTGAGTATAAATCTTTTTTTTTTATGTAGGCTCAGAATTTTTTAAGTCGTGCTTCACTAAACAAACATAATGTGCAGCACGAGTACCATGTGGATGTGGTAATCATAATCAAATGGATTAGTACCATGTGGTAATCATAATCATAGGTGCAGCACGAGTGCCATGTGGTAATCATCATAAATGCAGCATAATCAAATGCAGCATAATCAAATGCAGCTTAGGATTATGCTGTATTGATCATGTAGCATAATCAATTACCGCAAACCATGGTACTAATGTGGTAATTACCACATTACCATGTGGTAATCATAAATCATCATGCCATGTGGTAATCAATTTAATGGCTGTTACTTAAATCGTTCAGCTTGAACGAAACGCTTGCAGTTACTGAGATCGAAGTGTGCATCATTTTTATTTACTATGTGATTTTGAATTCCTGATTGACTAAAGAAACATAATATGCAGCACGAAGTTCACGTGGTAATCATAGATAATTTACTGGCTGTTACTTTAATCGTGCTTCACTAAACGGACATAACTTGCAGCACGGTTATCATTTTAATTTACGATGTGATTTTAAATTCATGATTAACCAAATAAACATAATGTGCAGCACGAAGGTCACGTGGTGAGCATCATCTACTGGCTGCTGCGCAACTGCCGCACTAACCAGAAGCAGCGGCTCATGGCCAAGTTCCTCGAGAACGACCACGAGAAGATCGACCGCCTCATGGAGCTCCACTTCTCCTACCTTGAGCGAGTCATGGCCACCGATAGACAGCTCGAAAAACTGCAGGATAAACAGGTAAGCACTTTTAATGTTTCAAACCAAATTTCTAATAAGAATCTTCCAACATGGTGACTGGTTTAATGGCTAAGTTACAGTGTGATGTAAATATGGTTGTGGCCGGTCATCAAGCCAGTGATAGTCGTGATACTACCTGTGACCTTAGTACCTTGAAAAACTGTCATATCTTCCCTAACGTACCTAATCGCCACTAACAATTACAATAACAACTGCCTAATTACTAAGATTCGATGATGGATTTATCGATTATCCAGACTTTTTTCTAAATTATTTAGCCACTCGATGCGCTGTATTAAGATTTAGCTTCTTACTCTCGTATGTTCTGATGTAGGCTTGTACGGTCAGAACTGGATTCACAGACGTCATTTTTATCTTTCCATAACTTTACTCAACGATCTTTCTCGAGTTGCTCCTATTTGAGTTATGTAATCAGGTGTAGGTGTACATAATCGACATGCCTCGTTGAATGAAGCCTAATATTAGCAAGTCATAATTAGTTATCCCTTTCTGATGACATTTACTCTTCGGAATAGTTTTAATTAAGCCTACTTGGTTATGTAACTTACCCCCCCGCCTACACATTGAATGGCTGTATAACTCGACGTAATTTCAGAGCGAGAAGCTGAGTGATGATGACATGTTGAATTTCAGAGCGAGAAGCTGAGTGATGATGACATGTTGAATTTCAGAGTGAGAAGCTGAGTGATGATGACATGTTGAATTTCAGAGTGTGAAGCTGAGTGATGACGACATGTTGAATTTCAGAGTAAGAAGCTGAGTGATGATGACATGTTGAATTTCAGAGTGAGAAGCTGAGTGATGACGACATGTACCTACGTCGTCTGGACGGGGGGCTGTTCACGCTACAGCTGCTGGACTACGTCATGCTGTGCGTGTGCGCTCAGGGCCCGCCTAGCATCAAGCGCAGGGTCGTCAAGATGCTCAACCTCAGGAATGCTTCCGTCAAGACCATCAAGAATATCATCAGAGGTATCAATTCAAATTACAATTAATTTAATTCCCAGCACGAAAGCTATTGTGAATGACTGCTCCAATTTCTCCCACGTATTTCCTGAAATTCATTCAAGAAGATACACTAACATAGAAAAAAGTATAATATATTTGGAAACCTGTGGCCGTACTATCAAAAATAGTTACTGCTTCGTAACTCTCTCTCTTCAAATCACTGACGAATATCAAGCTAAACCCACCAATCACAGACGAGAAATTGGTCGTTACTCGTACTTAAGCGAGTTTTGATAGGACGGTCCCTGTGTAAAATATTTTTCATACCCTTATCATTCAAGTTTTTCTTACCATTACTCTTCTGGTGAGCAGAATACGTGAGCAACCTCGGCGACAGCGGTAGCATCAGCAACGCAGACGACGAGCTATCGGAAGAGCAGCACAAAGTGCTTGATTGGCTTGATAAGTTCCAGAATATGTGAAGAGTTTCGTCATTTTCGTACCTTATGTTATTGCAATTCATCATTGTGCGCGTGTCATTTTGATTATTATGCCCATTCTTTGAGCATCCATGTACGTAATTCTAATAGATCGGGGATCAATCGCATTGCATTTGCCGAATGAAATATCGTCAACTCTATTCCATTGTGAATTTAAAATTACGGTACATCTTCAGATTTCTCACTTGGGTTGCTTAGGGGGTTGATGTTTTTTATGCGTTACCCAGCGTTTCATTTTTAATTGTAATTCTATGAAATCGTTGTAAATAATCATGATCGTTCCATCAATTACACCATTAATGATACCATGGTTTTTCATCCCCACCTCAATTGTTCAGACGAAATCGTACATTTTATTGTAAGGAATCAAATTCGTTTTTTATTATATTTCCTAGTACAATTCGTGCGTAAAACTTAGCGGTATACTGAAAATTAGTGATGGAGGTGCATGCTGGAATTAAACGCAGCTAATATGTAATAAATAAATGAAATATTTTGGACGAATCTTCAGCTATAATCTATTTTAATTAACCAGCATCTTCTGAAAGTGGCGACCCTCAAGAGAGCTCTGGTGATCTCATCAGAGTTTGTGGGGACTTTGCACTCCCCAGGGAGACCTTTAGCGAGCGCAGGTGTTGCACTTACATTCAAGTATTCACCGCGGCGCATTAAAATTACTTGATTAGTTTTGGCTCACTGTACAATTTTTTTAAAATGAGTCCGAGTTTGTGTAGCCGTCTGGTCATGAATTGGCAAAAAATCGATTTTTGCCTTGCAAGATGGAATACCAACTTGTTATTTTGTAGTGCGCTGCTTCTTGGATCCTCTGTTGACTCGGATCTTTGATGTGAGTCAACCAGTGAAACAGTTCTTTGAAGTTTGTGACCAGTTCTACGAAGAGCAGTGAGTACAAGGTTCGAACCAGAACGGTATGTTCAGACTACGCATTTCTGTCCCAGAGTTAAGTCGGCCAAGTAGCCGTCATGTGCTCGTGTCGCAAAACCCTCCTACGTGTCCCTCGCCGTATCTATTGCTCTAAAGTTTCTTTACATGTTCATATTTTCATTCTTTTACGACTCCGTTTGCCTATCCTTCCTTCGTTTCTTTTCTGTCTAATGGCGTTTGCTTGTCAGTGCGATGGCTTCACGAAAATTTTTTATATCTATCGATGACATTTCATTCGTTGGGAACAATGGCTTTCGCTTCGTTAATTATGAATCTTCTCGTTCATATGAAGTGAGATACTCGGAGCTGAGGAAAAAGTTATTTGTGTACTTATCTCACTATAAAATTTTAGATTCACATAAATATAACAAATACCCGGAAATTTCATTTTCATCTTAAAATTTTCGAAACAGCTAAAAAAATGAGTCGCTTGCCGAAGCTGGTGGTGCTGGACCTTGGTGAGTAAAACATAATGTTAAGAAAATTACAATAAATTATTAATAAATTATTTTTCTACTTTCATATGACTGTCTGCGTTTCTCATAGATTTTACATTTGCCACGTCTCCATTGAATATTCCTGGCTCAAAATAATTATATATATAGCTTTTAAGAAGTGTAAACCGTTCGACATTGCAGGTTTAAGTGGAGACACACACAGAGACTTGAACGCTCTTCAATATTCAGGTTCAAACGTTGAGTTGTAATTCTGAGTATTGTTGATTCAATGTTAATTCAGCACTTTCTCGGTACAAAAGTTTCAGGGGAGCTACAAGAACTAAATTTCGTTTGACCTTTCCTTCCAACAATGTCATTCGACTTATTATTTTTTTTTTTACTTCTCTAAAATTCTGCCAATTCTGATGTTGGGAGTACTGGGAAGCAGACATATGAGGGTTCGATCACAGCTTCCTATGACAATTCTGGTTGAAATCGACGAGCTGGCCAGGCGGTTAAACAACGCAAAATTGGAGCAGTGAGTTGCGTGTTCGAGACAGTGAAAAGTTTTGTGACGTTATGAATCGGTGACAGGCGTAACTGCATTATGTGCAACGCTGACATCGTTATTACTACCAAAGTTTGACTAGGATTAATTTGGGAAGAATCTTAGTTGTCTAACAAGAAAAAATATTTGGTAATTGTTTTTTGTATCTTTTCTATATTTCATCTTTATAAAATTTTTAGTTAATAGCACCTGTTGACTCTACCGACAGTTCGATGGCAACCTGATGTAGCTGCATCACAGATACCATGATTTATGTAGGTAAATATTATATTGTATGTAAGATAAATACCGAATTCAACAAAAAAAAATGCAATGTTTATTTTTATGCGATGCCTGCATTACCAAAATTATTATTATTATGGAATAATTTTATTGAGCCTTATTCGGAACTAGCGACATTCCTTTAAAGCTAGCAAGGGGAGTTGCTGTAAAGTAGTCAATTAAAATGCTTTTTGATCACCTTTGTTCGTAATTGCTTCCTCAGACTACACCCTATGGCCGTTCTATGCTGGACATGAAGTCGACTACCCGTTCGTACAGACAGCGTGAGTACAACTGCTTGACTCGCTGGCACCAATTTGCCGGTCTCTGATTATATTTGTCGTGGAGATCGGTCGGGTGCTCATGCCGTGAGGTTAAGAGTGTTGCTTAATCCTATTCATAGAATTCCTGTGAGAATTATAACCGGAATTTTATTTCTGATTAACCTCAGAAACTATAACTGGTTAGGATTTCACAGCCTTCCGTTCGAATAATTGGTAGAATTGTTAAGATAGTGTATATCTGGGTAGCTTGTCGAACCGCTAGCTGCGCTATGTGCAGAATTTCTGGTAAAACTTTATGCTATACTTTGTATTTAGAGCCAAATGGCTGAAGCCACGTCCTATCATACGTGACATTTTTGACCTCAAACGTTACAATAACATTTTTGTCATGCATTTCTTAGTCTACTTTAAATACTTAACTATCTGTTTCTCCATGTCAATAGTTATATGATGATAATTAAATGTAACGCTTAAATATTATGTGAAGGAACGGGGACATTTTGGATTCTTCAAACATGATTCTGAAAACATTCCCTGAGAGTGAAGAAGCGCTCGAGCTTTTATCCTCTACCGTCGGTACTATGGCCGCCGCGTCGTCAGGAGTCCATGCGAAGGCTGCAGAGCAGCTCCTACAACTGCTCGGCTGGAGGAAGCATTTCTTGTGCGTCGAAGTTGGACCAGGCTCTAAAAAAACACACTTTGATATGTAAGTCAGTCGTACATCGAATATTAACTTTTTAAAACAAAGAACGAGTCCTAATGTTTTCGATCTCACGAGTTAGGTAATTTTTGTCACCGAGACCAGTAGATCACATTGAGCAACATTTCAAAACTCAAGCTTCTAGTGGGGAACTTTGCCTCACATGGCTTCTCCAATGTTGATTTAGTTTCCGCGTTATGGTAATGATAATCCTTAATTAGAAATGGATTTACGGTTTGCGCAAATTTGAAGTGTGAAAATGATCGATTACAGTATATTTTTACAATGAATTATTACCGTCATGATCACTAGAATGACAGGAAATGACAAATTTTATGATAGGTCACTAAAAGATGCTCATATAGTAAAACATTTGACTTCGCCCAACGTACATCACTTCCATATATCTTTCGATGAGATCCTAGCATAAATGAAATGTTCCTAGACTTTATCTCTCGCCGGTCGCACGTACGTTTTCTCCTTCGTTTGTTCCGTATCTACACTTTATTCTTTCTACTCCACACCGTTGCCGCTCGTCATTCGTGCACCTTTTATCTCGAATTGGAATGTATTTTCATAATTAGGATATTCATAAAATAAAATGAATACTTTTAGTTTTAATAGATTCTCTCGCAGTGTGATGTAAATTATATGATAAAATTCGAAGATTAGATTTCTGCCGTCAAAAGACTAACGAGAAGTGTACTTTTTAGCGCATTTTCTCATTTATGAAAAAAATGCACTATTGTGCTCGCCATGTCTGTCTGTCTGTCCGTCCGTGACTTCATGTTTTCGTCGACGAGAAAATGCGCTCTCTGTCACTCACCGCATTGAGAACTGAGTTATATTTTTTTAATCGTGTGGGCGGCATGCAACTATTGCATGGTTAGGTACCTCTTGAAACTCTTACACGCAACTTTTGGCACGAACATTGTGGTTTCTTCCTGTGCTTCTGAATCCTTCCATCGTTTCTATTGCAATTCTCCGATTCGCCTCTTTCGTTTCCGTGACATTTATTCCGTTCATTCTTCGCATTTTGTCTTCTAAGACGTCACTTGTTCACAACCAATAATTTTCTAAAAAATATGATTTTACGGCAGAGCAATTATTGCACAACTTCAATTTTGTGTGACTGAACTATTTTCGGAAGCGATAAGTAATTCTATTCGCAAAAATGCACTCTCTGCATGTTGTTCAGTTTCGACACTTAGATACGATCTTTATGTCAAGAAACTTACGCTAACTCGTTGTTTCCTCAGCATTCATCGGAAGAGTCTTGTTGCCTATGAAGATATGCTCTTTTTCGACGACGAGCCTCGGAACGTGTCGGAAATATCCGCCCTCGGCGCCACTGCTGTGTTGGTAGATAAAACCGACGGCCTGACCATCGCTCTTGTCCACGAAGGACTTCAACGTCACGCCGGACGCAATTTGCCCTAACGATATTCCGCTGTTTTAGCCATGACAATAAAAAAATGTATTATGTTTTTGGAAGGGTGTCCGTGATAAAGACAATTTATGACGTTTTTGGTTGACAATCTGCATGTACACATATTTTTTCTGTATTGTATTTGAGTCCCTACAAAAATTTTGGTAAAATCATGTTGTGGTGTGATGAACTGGAATCTAGGACGTTTTTTTGTGAGAGTGTCAATATTCTAGTGTATATGAGCACTAAATAAAATTTGGTCAATCGTTTCTCGGTCTGCCATTACGACTACGTCTTTTTAAAAAGACGAATTATTATAAAGCAAACCGGAATTCTAAAAACTCGGGAAAATTTAAAATGTAATATAATCATGCAACAATTTTTATGTGTGAGATTTCAGTGGAGATTTTAAACTCCATTCAGAAACAATTATTGGTGCTAAAACACTGAGGATAGTTCGGGCAAGAGGCTATGATAAATTCTATTAAAACTGTCCATGTTTCATTATAGATTCTTCCCCGATATGAACTGCGTGCATCTCACTTCGCTACTGAATGATTTATTATTATTATATCTTCTTCAAGACTTAGGATTTGAAGAAATATTACACATTCCCATAATTTACGTCATGACTGAAACGCTTTTGCTTTCATGTCACGTACAGGTGATGCATGAAGTACAGTAATTATGTTTTTTACAGTTTCGTAAACTCAATGTCGTCTGAAATGATTGTGCTCTATAAAGATTTTATGTGTAAGGGATTTATTCATAAATATTTCTCTACACTGATTTTAATTAGCGCCTTTCTATGTTAATATTATATTAAGATACGTACGTATATATGACATACGTAGCTATGAAACAAGAATTAAATTTATTTTCATCTCGCTTGGAACTGGTGTTGGAAAACTCTTCATTATATACTTGCGCTTAATTAATATGGTTGCAATGCGATCCGTTGTTCGCACTCTATCAGCTGGATTCAATTATGATAAATGAGGTATTTTTGATGTTTTGAACTGACCAGCGAAAATAATAGTGCACAGCACCATTAGTCTACATTATCCAGTTCTTCATAAAATTGTCGTCTACATTATCCAGTTCTTCATAAAATTGTCCAGCGAAGCTAATAGCGCACAGCACCATTGGCTAGTCGTAATTTTCCAGTTATTCATGAAAGGACCAGTGAAGCTAGTAGTGCACAGCACTGTTAGTTAATTATCATTATCCAATTAGAATGAATTACGAGTAAAATTAATGATGCAGAGCACTATTGGCTGGTCCCAATTATCCAGGTTGTGGACTTAATGGTGACCTGAAGAGGATTTTGAGGCCAGAAAGCAGCTCGTATGATCGCTGCGCACCTGTTGTTGTCTCAGAGAAATCCAAGCATCGCGGTTACTCGCTATGCTCACAGATGGCGCTTAACTCCAGCCATTTGTCTTTGTCTCAAACTTTCATTCAACAGCTTGTGCGTTTACCGATTTTCATCCTTTAGAGATGTGAATGGTGATGTTTTTTGCACGCTATGAGATATAGTACTGATTTAGATGCACTTTTTTACTCGTAAAATCTCACAGCGACGATGTGAGATTTCACGGCACTGGAGTGGACTTTCTTGCTATCTATGATTTTTAATACATACCATTACTAAATTATATTGTTTTCTTGGCATATCAGCATACAATTATGTTTTAGGAAACTTTTTACGCGATTTTTTTCATTTCACACGCTCATAGACTAATACCTAATTATCTCAAATAATATTATATAATATGATAATATATAATATAAATGGTGCAGGGCGACGGTGATGCGGTCGAGCTCTGGGACGTTCGAGATGGCAGCGAAGGCTTATAATATAAAACTATAGAGGATTAAGCAAGAAATATTTTTAAAAGTACCTAACAAATGATTAGCTCCGAATAACAGTGGGGATGGCAGCCAGAAAAAGTGTAAATTTATTGTCTGAATGTTGCATGGTATTTGGAAGTACTCTCTGACATGAATTACCTTCAGAACCACACTAATGAAGCTGAATTCATATACTACGCTGAATTATCCCATCTATGGATTAATCTGAAGCAAACATGAAAAGGTCTAAAATTGATGCCCTCAGTCGCCGAATCTCAGTCAATTCCTTTTATTAAATCTGAAGTCTTAGGACCTGACATGTATTCACTGCTTTAACATTAACACTTGCACTCCGGCTAGTTTCTTAGTAGAGTCCGGCTAGTTTCTGATCCTTCAGATCCAGAATAGTTATCACTTAATCCTTCCTCTCTAGTAATCCTCGAGAGAAAGGATTAATCGTTATCACTTAATCCTTCCTCTCTAGTAATCCTCGAGAGGAAGGATTAATAGTTATCACTTAATCCTTCCTCTCTAGTAATCCTTGAGAGGAAGGATTAATCGTTATCACTTAATCCTTCCTCTCTATTATATTAATCCTCGAGAGGAAGGATTAATAGTTGCCACTTAATCCTTCCTCTCTAGTAATCCTCGAGAGGAAGGATTAATAGTTATCACTTAATCCTTTCTCTCTAGTAAATATCCTCTCGAGAACGAACTTGGGCAGGCACAGCGTCACTGACTCACGGCCAACTTTCTCCCGAGGAATGTCATGTTTTTTTGGGCACCTGTTCTCTGTGTCTTGTTTGGCCGAAGGCGCTCTACAACGCTGTATTTTACGGAGTTAATAATTTGTTATTTAATTTGCGGTATCAATCATTTGAATTTTTTATTTTGAAGGTGTGGCTTAGGTTTTGCGCTTGCATCGTCAAAAGAAATTCAACAGCCTCCCCAATGACATCGTTGGCGCCCCAAGTATGAACGCGTTCAAGAACAGACTAGATAAAGCTATGGAAAAATATATGTTCAGATTTGAAATGCCTAGCTCCTTATCGAATCCGGTGGAAGTCTAGTAGCTACTTCAAACTATCGTCAGTCATGAAAAGATCCGGTCAAATGACACGAGTTTAGATCTATGAACAAGGCACGAAAAGGAAAAGAATCGGCGACAGGCCACATCAGGCCTACACTTCAGCGCCGAGATCACTATGTTATGTTATAGGCGCTCTACAACGCTGTATTTTACAGGGTAGCTAATTTGTTATTCAATTTGCGGTATCAGTCATTTTAATTTTTTATTTTACCGGTTTGGCTTAGGCTATACGCACCACGATCTATTTTACATTTTATAGGGAAACTGATTAACCTGCTAAAAAGTTTGTGGTATCCGGGATTCGAATGTTTTATTTTGCTACTTTGGCTTTTGCTATGTGCTTAGTAAAGCCAAAGGATATTTGCATTACTGCATTCTTTTCCAGATAAATAGTTTGTTAACAAATTTCGGTAATTTTTCTTTGGATTTTTTTTTATATTTTCAACTCGACTTTATATTTCATTACAATATACTAGTATCTATTTTTTTGTTCATTTCGACCAAATAAAGAATCGTTGACTGAGCATAACAGTGCAAGCTCAGCCAAATATTACTCGAACAAGTGGGTCGTATATCATGTGTTTTTAATAACTTTTGAACTGTTTAGTTTTACTGTGATGAAGTGTGACTGTAAAACTGTGGTGATGCGTGACAGTATTACTGTGGTGATGCATGGCAGTATTACTGTGGTGATGCATAGCAGTATTACTGTGGTGATGCGTGGTAGTAAAACTGGTGATGCATAGCAGTAGAACTGTGGCAATGAGTGACAGTACCTATCAGCATAGTGAAGATTCGCTACGTACGTAGAGGCTGGATCTGAGACTAACTTTCCTCGGCAAACTGTGGCCGTAACTTTCAATGGCTTTTCTCCGTGCCAGCGTGGCTGTGTTGCGTAAGACCTGAGTGGCCTGAGGGCAAGTTTAGGTCTTGTTATGGTCTCGCCCTTGGCGCTCGTCTCATCCCTTGAGCTTGGACGCGTCCTGTTCTGGGTCAAGGTTGTGAAGCTTCTAGAAGTGTTGCGCAACCTGGGCACAGTACATAGACTTCGGTACAAGCTGAAACCTAAGGCTCGGTAGACTTTGGTAAAAACTAAGATTTAAGACACATTAAATTGACTCGATTCATCGAATCGGGGCTTAAACACGGCACATCAATTTCGGTACAGGCTGAAACCTAAGGCACTGTAAATTGACTCGGTAAAAACTAAGATTTAGGACACATAAAATTGACTTCGATTCATCGAATCGGGGCTTAGACACGGTACACCAATTTCGGTACAAGCTGAAACCTAAGGCACGGTAAATTGACTCCGGCAGATCGACTCTGATCTCATGCACGGTACGTCAGCATGAGCTCAGGCAAGGTACATTGACTTTAGACTCAGGCACGGTACATCAAATCCGGGTTCAGCTCGTTACATCGACTCAGCGCTCTGGAACGGTACATCGGCTCTCAGAGATTTAGGTGAAAACGTTCCCGATACTAAACCTTAGCTCGTTCATAATGATAAAAACGCTTGAAAATTCAGTGTTCCGATATACTTCAAATTAATGTTTATCAACAACCTTGGTTTACTTTCGGTTCTATAATTTTTTAGAAGTGTAAGGTTTACATAACACGCGTTACTTGGATTAGTCACAAATGAGGTACGTTGTCCAGAATATAGGCTAGTTAAACTTGCTGAGATAATAGAGTGCAGTTCGAAACAGACATTCCTGAAATTATTCTGCAGGTGTATACGTTAAACCTGCATGGTTAATGTTCGAGTCGATGGCGAGCCGCAGGTTATATTTTATCTAGTTATTTCCAGCCCGACTGTTTCTTAATTGTTTCACATAATTCATTAAGCCTCTCACTCATGTAATTCTTACCTAAAAATCGAGTCGCTGACGTAGTATTTCTTTCCTTCGAATTTGAACATTTTATATTAGCCCTCTACCGCCGTATCTCACTCTACGGGAACCTAACTTTCAACTTAAATTATACGTAAACTATTGAGTGTAGCAACCTGAGGACGTTTGTACGCAACAGAGAACATTTTAAAGTTGTCGTACGTGGCGGCAACCATAAGTGCAAGTCATTTTGCGCTCACTAGAACGTATCCTTTTTGGGAAGTAGGCGCGTGACAATATTGCTCCGGTTACTCATGTCAGGCGGTAGAGGGTAGAATAAAGCCCAGGATCATGCAATTGTGATTAATTAAGTGAAAAATGTGCTTTCGATATG